TAGTCTAGTCTACGGCTAAAAGGGGCAAAACCACGAGCCCTATGCGTGTCCCTGAAAACACTGTGGAGCAGTTCAGTCTCGCGCGGTTGAATTATCCATTCTTGCGGAGCAGACTCGTTTGTCTACCCGCCACTCACGTGGAAGGTTCACTCTTAAGTTGAACCGGCAGAGATCCGGCCCATGGATGCCATTCCAGGACCGCTGGCAGGCAGCCACATAGACGCGACAGCCGTTGGAAGAGTTCTCCTGACATGACAACCAATTAGAACGGATTCTTCACTCGGCCGGTTAGAGTGTATAAGCTGTAAAGCGTAGAGAAGACTCGGACCTTCAATGACCTGTGTCGCCATAGCAATACTGCAAATCTGTGACGGCGGAAGATCTTGGGTACTTCCCACAATGCCGTTGTTTCACCGAGGCGCACTAAGCACGTCGAATGGCACATGGAGCAAGCAGCAAGGGTAAGCGAAATGCGCACTAAAATAGCCACACGCCACTATCTTAGAAGACTTGATGGGCTCACAGACCTGTGGCTTTCAGCACCTTGGTTTGAGAACTGCATTGGTGCTTGTGCTTGCATTATGGTGAGACCGGAGTCTCCGGAATAATTCAATGAGGTTCCCAGGTAGATGGAGTATTTGTGCTCTTTGAAGATACACGTTATCAAGTCTAGCTAATTCGTCGGTTTGGCGTCCACCCCGACAATAAGGTTAGATGGGTACGTAAACCGGCGTGAGAAGAGGCTTAAATGTCGTTATGCGTCTGCCTAAGGCAAAATTCTGTCGACCTGGATCTCTTCCAGATGGTTCATGGTTCATGGTTCATGCAGAAGCAAGGCAGAGATGCATACCTCTTTCTCTTGATTACCTGGCTGAACCATGCATTGCTGACCCTGCAGAGGCTGCCATGCACACACGAGTGACACCGCACATTGTGCTAGGTTTCAGGAAGCTGAGCCACGGATCTGGTCTGATCTGAGCCGGCCACCACAATTTTTGGCCCCAATTCTGGCCCCGTTCCATCTCCGGGGCAAAGGGAAGCCCGTCTGACGCGCGCTAGTCTCGATGGGGAGGTAGTTCGGTGCAGTGTTTATCTAGTCTGCATACTGTTGACTGTTGTAGATAACTAATTGGTAAACAGTGGAATGGTTGCCTAAGACATCCTAGTCCTAGATCTTTTGGAAGCGGGATCTTTCTGGCTTGTATGGTGTACAACAATTCAGATATGGTGAATAAAATTTTTTTTATGAATTTTGGTCAAAGAAATCGTACAGTGGGCATGTGTACCTCCATGAAATGATCGTGGATTATTCTCATGTAGATCGCATTCTACGTGTTTTCCTTCTTATAGATATGGATCTCCTGCCGCCCCCGATTCCCAATGCTTGCCTATTTTATACTTTCTTGCGAGCCGTTGGTTTGCAGCTCTTCCGCCACTTGTGAACTTTGACAATCCCCCACATCCATTGCCATGATGTGTGTACGGTATAGAACTGCTGCACTCTGCTAATAGTACATTTAATCTTTGGACAGATCTGATACCTTGAAGCATCAAGATTATTCAATGATTGGGTAGGAAATTCTCCCCGAATCAATGCGATCTTTGAATGCCCCAACAAATTGGAAATAACTTTTTGATCGGTATCTCGGCAAGCAGCGTGATAGTTAACTACGATGGACTGTGTATAGCTCGGATGCGCCGCCTGTTTGGGGCAAGATGCGAGTAAGTGCACACAGAATTCTGGAGCTACGATAGTCAAGTAATAATAGGGCTTGAGAATTAGAGGTAACGCGCGGCATTTTACTAGAGGGTTAATAATATCGTAATCGGGAACCCAGTTTCAAAAGGCAGCCGGTCCATGGGTCCGACCCACTGCGACGCGACGAATTCAGGAGACAATCGAGTCTAGTTCCTTTCTCTGTCGAGTTTAGCCCAGGCACGGGATCCAGTTCTGAGACCCGGGAATAACGAATAACAACAAATCAACAACAACAACAACACCGAATTGAAGGATTTAATTTTATCACCACAACAAACACTCATCGCTCCTCCGTAAGCAGAAGCAGTCAGTGCCCAGGAGAGGGAAAAGGGACAGAGAAGATAATCAGCCACAGCGAAAGCAAGCCGAAGACGATATTCTTTTGATCTTCAGGACTGAGGAAGAAGAGTATTTTCCCATGAATGGTTCCAGGTGCTCCCGTAATTACCGTGGGTAGATTAAAAGCTTCTTGGCTCATTGGGGAGGATAGGCTAATCCCGCGTATAAGCCGAACGCCATGATAAAACCCATCATAAAATTAGAAGAAGAAAAATTGGGGCCCAGGACGGACGGAGTCTGGCACAATTGGGTGAACCCCAACGCAACTTGCTCTGCCGTTAAACCGTCGCTTATATGCTTGACTGCGACTAAACCTGGGTTGTCATGTAAGGTGTGGGTTTAGTCTAGTCTTGAGCATCGTCCAACCCTCCTCTGATTTTTGTGATCATCACTTGCCTTTTCCCGCTTTTTTTTCCCTTCCATTGCTGCGTCTGGACTTTCCAGCTGAACCCTGGATGCCACATACGCCTCCCCCGACCGGAAAGCAGCCCCCTCCTCCTGCTCCTCCTCTTCTTCTCCTCCTCCTCCAAAAAGTGCGTGAGTAATCAATCCGTTTTGGTATTGTCTTCTTCTGTCAGTTGGTTCACTACTATTCACATCTCGGGCTTAGCTTGACAGCAGCCTCCGTTTTTCCCTCTCTCTCTCCCCCCCCATTCCACTCATCATCTTCCATCGTTCTTCTCCCAGCCTTTCTTTTCCACCTCTCACATTCATACTTCCTCCTTCCCTCCCCCCGACACTCGTTTTTCTTCCCCTTTCATCTCTTACAGCATTTTTCTCCTTATTCCCTTTTCTTTCTTTTTCTCCTTCCATCAGTCTCTCTCTCTCCCCTCCCTAACACCCTCTCCGACTGACACTGGGCCTTGGTTTGGAGTCCGCAGGTGCTCAGCCTTACGCCAACAGACCTCCCTCCAATCCCGAACCATCGATCATCGGACTAAGCCTCCCCGCCCAAGGGTAACACACGACAATTCGCATCACGGCTTAACAATCCTACGGCCTCTCCCCCCCCGAGACTTTCTCATCCTCCTCCTTCACCCTGCAGCGAGCCAGTCGCCGGGCGAAGATACCCTCCGCTCGCCCCGTTAGCCCGTCTTAAGTGTGGCTTGGTGTGGCTTATACGCTTGTCGTCGAGTGGTCGTCGTCCTCCCAGAACCCGTCATCTTCGAGAACCCCGACCTCCTGAAATCCCCCTCCTGACAACCTCAAAAACAAGGCCTCGGCCGCAACCCGCACAGTTTGGGGTTGTCACCTCCCCGCTTCGCGAACCTGTATCCTTGATCCTCTACCTCTGCCATATTGTCGCGGCCGTCGGGTGGTCGAACCGTCATATTGTATCCCGATCCTGAGCCTCCGACGGACACTAGCTCCGTAACGGAGCACTTCGTCAAGATTTATTCCCACAATTCGCGGGCCTCCCTGCTCGGGGGCACTTTCGATCCATCTTTTAGACGCGGTTTCCGTGCCCGAGAAGGGTATACGAATGTTCCTCCGAATCCTCCAAAGCGACACAGGATGTATCGGCCAAACTCGCTCTGGACTTGGTCCTTTTGCATTGTTACCCTCGTCCAGACCATCATTACCCTTGCCCTCGAGTCGTAAGTGTGGCCTTCATAACCGTTGATTTGAATCTTTCCGAGTGCTTATGCTGACTACCGCACGAATAGTTATGTCTTCGCAAACTTCCAGATCCAACTGTTTCCCAAGGGTGAAGTCTCGACTGCCTCAAAGACTGTAACAACCTTCTTGGCACTCTACTGTTTCGGTTTTATATATGAGTTGATCCTCGTTTACGATGCTTTACGTCTCAAGAATACCATTCAAGTCATCGGTCTGTGCGTGTGCAACCTCGGTCTCCTGATTTACGGAGCGGTGCAAGTCCAGCAGATCAAGGACTCCATCGAAATGCTTGTGGCTGAAAGTGCCATCACGGTAGACGTGTGGGGGGAAACGGAGCCTTTTCTGATTATCATTCCGTGCGTTGTTGCCATGGGCTCTGTCCTGATGATGATTATCGCTTGGAAACTCTACGATGAATTTGCATGGTCGATCTACAAGCATATCAGCGCCGATCTGCGAATGAAGCGCCGGTATCTTACATATCAGGTACTTTTGCATGCCCGCCGAAGTGGGGACCCGAACCCAGCTAACAAGCTTTTTAGATCTATATCGCTCTGCTGAAGTTCGATTTCTTCTTCTTCCTTGGTTTCACGGTCCAGTTCCTTGTCATTGTTACGAACAAGACGGATGTTGAATTCGGTCTCACAACGGCTGCCATTCCCGTTACGATTCTCATTCTTGTTTGCGCTGCGATCTTCGTCAAGCGAGAGAGCTCGATCGGAATGATTATCGTCATTGTACGTTATAGTATCCCTCACTGGGTCTGAATATCTTCTAACTGGTATCGCAGCTTCTATACTTCGCGGCTATGGCCTACTTCCTGTTCAAGCTGGTCCGCATGTACCAGCCTCAAACATATCAAGAGTACCTGCCCGCCCGGCGGTCTCTGACATTCTTCGCTGTGATCACACTTCTTTTGATCGTTTTGACGATCATCAACGCCTGCATTTGCATGCACAATTTCCACAAGGGTCTGAAGCAGCACGTGCATAAGAAGAAGTCCCGCGACAAGGACGAGAAGACAACTGAGTTGTCTTCCAACATCTCGGGCCAGGTGCCGAATCGCATGATGATTGACTGAGCGACTTCAGCCCCACGTTATGAACCAAACACAATAAAACGACTAAAAAAAAAAAAAAGAGGAAGACTAAAAATAACAGCAAACCTGCAAATCGGGGGACTTTTTTCTTTTCCACATTTCTAACCACTGCACATTTATTCATGGAGCGATATATCGTTTTTAAAGGTTAGCGAGTTGTGCAAATAGTCCGCCAGTAGGTGGAACTACTGCTTGGATACTAAGATTGGGCGTGTTTCCGGGATTTACCATATGATACCTCCTACTGCGTTGCTCGGTTTTTCTTACGAACCTTCGACTGTCTTTCCTTGTTGATTTCCTCGGAGTTTTGTCTGAAGTGGCTGTTCATCCTCCCCGCATCACGCTCTTACTTACTCAATGACGCGCCGAGTCGCGTCTCATTGATGAAATTCTTTTTTCCTTATATTTCCGTTTTGATCATCATTTCCCCCTTATATCTACATATCTCTACCCCCCGATTATGTGAATATCACGACTTTGCATTATGTACTGTAGTTATTAATTTGCCTTGTTGCTTGGAGATAATCAAAAGACACTACTCAAACCAGCCTACTGCCCTACACCCATTTATTGGCGATGAAATATCTGCAAACAGATAACTAAACTATCAACAGAGCACCGGGTAGTCGAGCGCGACAGCAAGTGGCTACTATGTACACACAAAGACAGAGAATATGAGCCAAGCAGAGAGAGAGAGACCTCTCCAAATAAAAACAATGAAGCAAAAGATCACGAAAAAGATATCTCCGATGCGGGGAATCGAACCCCGAGCTGCCGTGTGAAAGACGGCGATGTTAGCCGTTACACCACATCGGATTATTGTTGAAGAAGGGACTGATCTTATAATCTAAGTAGGACAAACTTAGTTCTCCTCTCCACATCGCAAAAGAACTCCTAGGTACTGGGTCTAGTCTACTATTTACTACTCCTACTACCCTTAATCATAATACCACTTCAATACATTCCATAGAGTATGATTGAGAATTTATGATAGAGAGGCATGTAAAGTAACACAATTAATAATTCTGGGAGATATGATACTTTGTAATATTGGTGTGTGGGGGTTTAAAAGCAGCAGTGAGGGAGTAGTACTTATCGTTTTACAATGAGGTATAGTTCAATAGAGTTACATGTACGGTGGCAGTGAGGGGCTACTAATCAATGTTACTACGTGGGTTTTTTTTTTTTTTTTTTTTTTTTTTTTTTTTTTTTTTTTTTTTTTTTGTTTTGTTCTTGCTGGGATGGGATATGGA